CCAAATTGCACCTGCCATTTAATTCATTTTAAATCCAAATTTTTCATATTAACTTTAATGATTTGTTCCTATGTAACGTACTTGATTTTTCAATTTATTGACTTGGTCCAAGAAGAGAAAATTTATTCAGTGTAAGTTATACTATTAATTTGAGAAATTATATATGCAGTTACATGAAAAATAGGCCTCAACTTATTTTAACCAAGCTTTTAATTAAATTCGGTCCGATGGGCCGATTGTCGGTTCAATCATCTTGTAGAACCGCATAGTTAAGTTTAAAATTTTAAAATAATTTAAAATATTATTATTTGTAGATAATAGTATAAAAAATACATATAAATTGTATATTTCAAATAATATTATTGTCTTACATCATAATATTTATTACATAAATATTTTTTATTCTAAAAATTAAAAATAATAAAAATATGTCAACCCACCCAGGTCGACTGGGTCTTTGATGGGTGTCGGTTGGGCTCCTAATTGATGGGCCGAAGCCCCAAAAGGTTGGGGTCAATGTAACAGTATAATTTGTAAAATAAAATAATATAATTCTTATTCAAGTCATATTTAATAATGTCCCTGCATGAGATACAAAAAAATTTACGAAATAAATAAAATATGTCTATTTAAATCTCGCCTATCGCTAAAAAAATACACTATATATCAATTTACTTTTTTACTTCCATCCACTCAGATTTTGTCATGCAATTTTTCAATTAAGAATTAATAATTACTCAATATTTTTCTATATAGATAGTAATTTATCAATTCTTATATTTCTTGATCACCAATCACTAATTTTATTATTATTTTAATAATTATAATTAAATATTACACGGCAGTGTTTTATATTATAAATTTATTTACTAATGTCATTAATTTTTTGTAGGGAGAAAAAGGTAGGGATATAAAAGGAGGCATGGGCACGTGTCGATGTCGGTGGTGGGGTAAGGATAAAATAGGGAGAAAAAAAATAGATAGAAAATCAAGACATTGTGAGCTGACTTCTCGATGACCTTGCGTACACGTGTCACGGTGTTCGTGAGCCACTTTTACTTACCCCTCCTATTTCAAAATTATACCTATAATTTATTTATTTTATATTTATAGCTGACCCTTTATTGTTTTTTTTTTATTTTTATTACTATACAATCCCTTCCATTATTTTATTATAGATTGTATACATATTTATATAATTGTATGTTATCTAATTAAAGCTATTTTTTTATTTAAATAAAAATGTATTCGTTACATTTCACATCAATTTAAGTGTAATTATATTTTTTTAACTATATCCTATAATATTTACTAATGTTATATTAATCAGTTATAGATTCATACTAAAAAATTTTATGGAAACTACACATGTATAAATAATTATTTTTTCAAGCTTCTTATTTTCAAATAAATATTATTCTTTCTTTCAAAAGAAATTTAATACTATTTTTTTTAGTTTAGCTTATTATGCGATTTTTTATGTAGTTAACTAGTTTTAATGTCATAACAAGCCGGGTTAAAATCACGTAAATAATGGATATAATAATAATAATAATAATAATAATTTTAACCTAGTTAAGTGGTCATGATCCTTTAGATTTATAAGAAAAAATACATTGTTTAATACGTTTTATGCAATCTATTTAGTGATTCATACATAAGTAAAATAGTTATAACTATATTGTTCATTTTTTACTAATAGTTAAATTTATAAAATGTAATATGAACATAATTTTAAATATAATATTCACAAATATATTATTTGTACATGTGCATGTGCACAACAATGAATACTAGTTACAATAATGAATATTTAATTATAACTAATCATATAGTTATATACATGGAATCTTACAACTGCATTGCAATATTTAAGAGAGCTGATAAATTTCCAATTTTAGAGTGTTCTTAGATCAATTTAAGATTCATATAAAAATAAAAAAATAATCAATTATTACCTATATTTATAAGTAAAAATTAAAATTTATTCACCAAACTAAATTAAAGTACATAAAATAAAATTATAAATAATCTTATGAAATACTAAAATATACTTAATTATATTAATGTGCCATAAAATAGTCATATCAATATATGTTAGTATTAAAACAAAAAAATTATAAATTCAATATGAATATAAAATGAATTAAGAGACAGATTGACATAAAAAATGTAGATGGCACCTCATACATTTCAATACTTATAATTTATTTTAAACTTAATAATATTTTAGCAAATTTAAAGAAACATGGTGAAAATAGCATTATTGGGTTCCTTACATAATATTTACTCTATTTGTATTATTTATTGTCGCTCAAATTATAAAAGTTGACTGAAAATAATGCATCACGTAGCAAATATTACTAAATACTACTACTTTTATTGGCATGTATGCGGTTAGCGGAGGAGTGAGTTAATTAAATGAATCAGCTTATAGCGATGTATGAGTTATCCATTTTGATTAATTGATTGAATTATTTTATTATGCACAATAATGTTAAATGATTAACTATTTGATATGTAAAATCAATTGGTTTTGCAATTTTTGTTCAAAAAAGGTTATATTTATTAGAGTTTATTCAAAACTAATTTTTTAGATCCAAAAAATATTTTAAATCGTTATTTACCAAACATCTAAATTAGAGTTTCTACTAGTCAACCCTCTAATTTAGTCAATTTTTTCGGTTCGTTCGGCCCAATAATTTTAATTACTAACTCAGATTAAATGGGCTCTGCCCAAACCCAAACAGTCATAGCCTCTTCTCATAAATTTTAGAGCCCAATGGATCAGAATCAAAATCATACTATCTCAGCCCAGTATTTTGCTTCGAAGTATTTTCTCGCACACAAAAGCATAACTTGCCGTCGCGCCCCCTCCGCCGCCATCAACCAGCCGCGCGCCACCGCTGAGACTCGAACTCGTACGAACACTCTATTCGGATCATTGTCTGGGTCTAATTTTTTCTCACATATCACGGTTCATTGTAGTCGATAACTGATGTTTTATGCAATTTGTTGAAATTAGAGCACAGAGCTCTACTGCTTTTGACTTCTGAATCCTCGTCGGAGATTTGAGCAATGGCTGCTTCGAATTCTTCTAAAATGTTTCGTGGTATGTGTTAATTCGTTCCCTTTTGTTTTCAATTTTTGGGCCCATCTGTGTTCATGGGTTGATTGGCTAATAGGGCATATAGACGATTGTTTCAGTTCTTGATTTATTTCATATAGTTGTGTCACTGCTTTCGAATGTGTAGCATAATGAATGGTAGAAGTTGAAAGGTAAACAAAATCATATTTTGTTTTGTTTTGTTATGTTTGAGTGGGGGTTATTTGTTTATGTACAAATTCATATTTTTTAAAAAAATGCATATTTTTGTCATGCTATAACGCTGCCTTACTGTAGTTTATGATTTGCTTTAGGTTTTATGATTTAGGATGAGAAAAGATTAAGTCTTCTTTGGGTGTAACATTTAATGTGAGCATTGTAGATGGTTTTTTGAGAAGTAAGAACAGATTTTGGATTGCTCGAGGCTGTTTCATCTTGCTAATGTTCAAATATTACTAGTTCATCAGCTCTTGGGATATTTTATTTCGTATATGAAGATTTCTAACCCATCATTTTACTAAATTGGATGCATATAGGTACATTAAATATGTTCATGAAATTCCAACTATTTAATGTGTGTGAGTGTGAGTGTGAGTGAACGAATGAGATCTCTTTTCATTTCAGTATTTACTTTCTTTTTCTGCAACTCTTTACAATGTTCTGTCGGCTGATTGGTTTTTCGAGTAGTATATGGTTATGCTGTTGACATCTTTCACTTTTTCTCTATCCCATTCTTGAAAAATGATTGTTCGCCTGAGGTAACTGTAATTTTGCAACAACTAATAATAACTAATTTCTTTTTACGTAATGGGACAAACATCAGTTGGTCGTTCGATCCTTGGTGGCCTCACCAACAGTTCTTTCAGTTCAATCCGGACATCTCCTCAGTCGACACATGCGGATTTCTTATCCCAAGTTAGTTTTCTTGTCTCTTGATTATTTATAGGAGCTTGCTATTCAATGGCACTACTGTTGATTTAATTTTCTTTTCATGTTTAATCTCCTAGGTTGTGTTTGGTAATCATATAAGTTAGCTTATAACTTATTTGATTAACTTATAAGCTTTCTTTCTGTATTCAAATAAGCTTGGTTAGGTAGGGCGAGTTTTTTATAAAGCTCGAGCTTATCTCATAAGATTCATAAAATTCTTTGAGTAGCTTTTCAAATAAGCCAATTGAATTTTTTATTAACTTCATCTAGCTTATCAGCTAACTTTACCAAACTTTTATCATATAAACTAACTTTTCAGCCATAAGTCATAAGCTAGAAGCTATAAGCTATAAGCTATAAGCAATAAGTAGAGATGTTAAACGGGCTAGCCCTAGCGGGCTTCGGGTTAAACGGCCTAAAAAACCCGGATTTAAACGGGCTACCAAAAAAAGGACCTAACCCTAACCCTAGCGCGCTTCGGACTAAAAATAGCCGGCTATGGCTATAATAATAATAATAATAATAATAATAATAATAATAATAATAATAATAATAATAATAATAAAAATAAAATAAAAAGAGTAAAAAATATAAAAAAAAAATAACAACGGCTAGTTAAAAATTATTTTCAACGGCTATTTAGTATTTACCGCCTATCACTATGTTTCATGTATTTCTTATTAGTCGTTCTGATTGGCTTAAATATTTTGGTATGAAGTACAATAACAATATTGTTAATAATTATCTTTCAAAATCATAATAATCCATTACAACTCGTACTTACATGTGAAGTGGAATATCAAAATTGTAATATACAAGGAATCTAAGAGCATATTACTTGATGCAAACATTTGCACCGTCCAACTCTAGTTAAATGGGCCAACCCCGGGTTTCGGGCTAGCCCTAGCGGGCTTCGGGCTAAACGGTCCGGGCCTAAAAAGCCCTGATTTAAACGGGCTACTAATAAAAGGACCTAACCCTCTTTTTTCCGGGCTAAACTGGCTAGCCCGTCGGGCCAAGGACCATTTAACATCTCTAGCTATAAGCTTGAAATTTATTTAAAAACTATAAGTTAGGTTCGTTTACCAAACATAGTCCTAACATTGATACCTTTGAGATGTAATAAAAGAATATTATCTCTTTCTCTTTCCCTTTACATTATAAACCCGAGTGATGATAAAAATACATTCTTTACGTATACATAGAAACAGTTGAATTATCTCGTTTATTTTGTCCAGCAAACGAGAACTTTCATTCAAATGAGAACCAATCTTAAGGTGGTGGATAATTCGGGAGCCAAACGGGTTATGTGCATACAAGCCCTCAAGGGAAGGAAAGGGGCTCGACTAGGGGACACAATAGTGGCCTCGGTGAAAGAGGCTCACATGGGTGGAAAAGTGAAGAAGGGAGATGTTCACTATGCTGTTGTGGTTCGTGCTGCTATGCAGCGTGGAAGGTGTGATGGGAGTGAAGTTAAGTTTGATGATAATGCAGTCGTTCTAATCAACAAACAAGGTGAGCCGATTGGGACACGAGTGTTTGGCCCGGTTCCTCATGAGTTGAGGAAAAAGAAGCACCTCAAGATTCTAAGCCTTGCCGAGCATATTGCCTAATGAGAGTTTCTTGAAGCTTTTTTTTTTTTTTTTTTTTTTTTTTATTTCCTTCTAATCTTGATGTCGATTTAAGGTTTGAACGATTTAATGTAAGGTTTGAACGATTTACGTGTGTTATAATCGTGATGTTGATGTAAGGTTTGAACGATTTATGTGAAGTTCGAATCTTGATGTTGATGGAAGGTTTGAACGATTTACGTGTATTGTGGGACTCATCGACATCGTCTAATCTTGATATTGATGTAAGGTTTGAACGATTATTATGTAGATGTAAGGTTTGAAAGATTTACGTGTATTGTGGAACTCATTGACATCGTCCTTCGATGAGGTCTTGTTTTGTGCTTTTGAATTTGTGTTGATATTCAAATATTATTCGTTTGAGATTTTTAAAGACTTTTTAAGACTTTAAATTTTTGGTGTATTTAAATTTAGATTTTAAAAGACTTTTTTAGACTTTTAAAATTCTCGGACTATTAATTTGAGATTTTAAAAAATTTTACAAACTTATTGAATACTAGAAGTTGTTAAAGATTTGATGGTACTTTAAAAGAAAAAACCATATTATGAAATTCTACCCTAAATCAAAAAAATTTTACAAACTTATTGAATACTAGAAGTTGTTAAAGATTTGATGGTACTTTAAAAGAAAAAACCATATTATGAAATTCTACCCTAAATCAAGATTTCATAGGATTCCTTTAGAATTTTTGAAAGTCGACTGGTCTTGTTTTATCTTTTGAACTAGTGTTGATATTCAAATATTTCATGCTTTTGAACTAGTGTTATGTTCAAATATTTCCAGGCAATCGTATCAGAAAATACAAGGGAATGTGTAACAAAATATTGAATAATATATATTTTTCAATTAATCTATGCTCAATTTTTGAAATTCTCCCTTAAATTCATTTTAATAATCATCATACTTTTTTTTTACTCACACATAATCTGCAACTCCTCAACCAAACAGTATCAGGTGGAGGATGATTACATACATATTTGTGTCCTTTATTACTTGAAAGGAATGGTGTAGAGAAAAAAGGATACTATTTCAGCCAAACAGTACAACCAATTAAAATCAGTTAAAAATCAAACCAAAAACTTGAGTAATGCACAACTTAAGCCATTACACAATATACTATTTCATGGGCTGCCACTTACATGAACATGAAACAACTTCATACACCTTGCCAAGTTATGCAGCAAAAATTGAGAAACATGAAAGACTGATTAATATATATTGTATAATTTTTAAAATCGAAATACTCGGCACAAATTTATTTCTTTCCAGCACCTAGCGGGTTTTCTTCATGCGTTTTGAAGGTCTCGTCATTTCCTTCCTCAGTTCCTCTGGGATTTTTATGTCTGTAAATGGCTGCAGGTAATAAAAAACACATATTAATCACACACCAATCAACTCACATTCGAATAAAACCATTAAACAAAGTGGGCTACTGTTACTGATATTTTTGCAGAGTATGTTAGGATTCTTTGCCGTTCATATCTTTTTCCATTTTCTAATAGAGTAGAGTAACACAGATATAAAATTAAAACGCCTATAACCTTATTTAAGTTGAGACAAATCCATTTACTTTCTGCTCAACAATTCTATATCCAAGATTTAGGGCTACCAAACAAGACAAACCTAGCTCAAGTACAAGGATTTTTATTTATTGGTGCTAAAATTTATGTAATTGGTAGGCAAAAGATAGTGCCGATACATAGAATGGAAAAAAACAAAAATCATTTTCAGCAATCAGAGGCCAACACTTCATCAAAAACTTTGTTCATAAGAGTAATTTTTTCGAGATAAAAGATGTAATATGTCTTCATAAGATATTCCATATTATCATATAAAAAGCGAATGTAGGGTGAACAAGAATACGACAACTTGTGGAACGTAAATAATGTGTGAGATCAAAATCGAGATTGTGATGTCGTATTTACTTGCCTCGTCTATTTTCTTCTGAAGCTCCAAAAGTTCTTGGCAGTATGTGAGGCACTCTGCATGGTATGCAGCTGCCAATTCTTTGATCAAAGCCTTCCTTCTAATGATACCAATCACTGCAAAAGATAAAATAAACAATAATGGTGATTACGCACGAGATACAAAAGATGCATATTTTTATTTTATTTTATTTTTTCAATTCCAAGAAGAGGTACCCAAATTATTCATAGTATCATCATAAACCGTTCCAAAAATCAAACAGAACTCAATTGTCCAAATTTTAACAATTTTTTCCTCACAAACAGGAGAATCCAATGTGTACACTACACATAAGAAGCTTATGAGGAAGGCTTGTTTTATCAATTAACTGAATATAGAGCTTAAACTTCCAGAAAAATACTGAGTTAGCAACTAACTACAATAAAAAAAACATGAACAAAAGTATGTTATTTCATAGCACAAATATGCAATTTTAGTTAAAATTCTGGCTAATGGTTCACCCCCCTCATACAAGAACTTTGTGATCGAAATTAGAATAGAAAAATAACATTTACAATTAATTAGATACCTACACTACAGAGGAAAAAGTAAAATGCAAAAAGGGAAGAGAATTAGTGTCAGGACAAACAAAATTAAATCTTTTCACCATTTGATACCACAATTTTCAACCACAATTAACAGAATTACTAATACAGGACCAAGATCATAAAAAATTTGGAAGGACAGAGAGAAGGAGAGGAGAGGGTTACTCCGGCTGGGATCGAAAGGATGCGGCGGCGGCGGCGGCGGCGGAGCAGGAGGGTCGTCCCTCGGTGAGGACGGCGGAGGAACGGCGTCGTCCCGGGATGAGGACGGCGGATGGAGGGGAGGTAGCGGCGGAGGCGGGAGAGAAAAAGGGCGTTGGAAATGAAGTTCGCCCATCTGGGGGGCGGCGTGTGGAATCGCGAAATTACGAATTAAACGGTGGAAAAAAAAAAGAGGGGAACTGGGAAGTATCTGAAGTCGAGAGAAATTGTGAATGTCGGTTGATGTTTTATAGTGTGGTAAAAATCTGGTTTTGATGATTTCAATCAATGGATTTTTTTATTTTATTTTTTTATTTTTTTTTCTTTTCTAACATAAGAATTTATGTTTGGAGGAATTGATGTCGTAATTGTATTAAATTGAATATTTAATTTAGATTATAAATTCTCCTAGTTATTTTGTATTTAATATACAATTTACACTATGAGATTTCAGTTGAGATGTATGTTATGCTATTCATCTACTACAATGGAGAATACAAGATTACAAAAAATAATAAACCAAAAACAAATACAACTATTTCATTTTGTACTTGCAATTAAACCCCAAATAAACTAATAGAACCTGAAGTTCCAAATATAAATCAAAACCAAATTTAATGTCCTCAATTTAAAATGGCTGAATTTAACAATATTTCTTCTTGCCCTTACCAGCAAAAATCAATTCGTTGGCCACGAACTCGTTGGATGCCTCGACCATCTTCTCGCAAGTGATAAGTTTCTCTCACTAATCAAGTGACTTATTTATGGTGTTCACAATATTTTACAAATTTTAACTTAGCATAAATATATCTTAGAAATATACTAAAAAGATATTTGTGACAAAGGATGAAGAGGAAGGTGCCTAAGTAACTTTCTATATTTTCAACTTTCGGTTGAAGATAACTTGTTAGCCCAAACATACATCCATTTAACACGTGATACAAATCAAACGGATTGACTCGTCATATTTTTAGAATAAAAATGTATATTTACATTAAAAATATATATTTTTATTTATTTTACTATACAGGCCGAGCTCATCATATGTTTTCAATAAAAATTTTATACCTGTATTGAGAAATGATATAACTTTGTTTATGCTATTTTCTAAAGCATGTCATGTAAAAAATTATATATATCTGTAAAAAAAAATATATATAACTACTAATTAAGCCCAACTAACAAATAGAAGAAAACATTCATATTCCACGTAGCTATACAAATTACAGACAAGAGCACACTATCATCTATCAATATCAATTGAGCTCCTTATAGCTACAAATCATCAAAATCCTCCTCAATACTTTCTTTCACCCCATCCCTCATGGAAAATCAAGAGCAAAATTGAAAATTCACCCCCATTTTTTCCTACCATTTTCTCACACCACACAAATCGTACATTTTCACTGCACAATCTTCCTCAAAATCCCTTAAAACTTCGCAACACGTGCTATTAGCTCTCACGCTACGCAGAAATTCATCCGGGACACGTGCGAAAATCGAGAAACAGAAAATACCGAGTATGGTCATAATCGATCCTCCATTTGCAATCACAATACGAATAGTCTGTTGATTAAAAGGTAGGACGCGAAAGATAGGATTACGGGCACAAGGTAAATAGCCTTTTGCGATGTGATGTTCGTATTTTCCGAACTTTCTTCAACGATTGTCTCGAGTTTAGGCGCATTCGAGGCCTTGAGGGGATAAATGAAGGCTGATGGTGCAACCTCTACTACCCAAATTTGCTTCCTCATGATGAATTGATGATTAGATCTTGTTAATGAGCTTATAATTTCTGTATTTTTCTTTTCTTTTGAAGGGAATTTTTTGTTCTTTCTTTTAGAGAGTGTTTTGGTGTGTGATGAGAAAACTAATGCTTCAAAGTTGAAGGGCTATATATATATAAGGTGAGCAAGGAACCAAAGGGAAAAAAGAATAATAAGAAAAAGGAAAAAAAAGAAAAAACTATTTGTGGAAATTGAAAGGTGGAGAGCAAATGGGTATTTTTTTTGTGGAGAAATTAGTTTTTTCCTCCCCCACACGTTGTGCCGCGAAATTAGGCAGCAAGTTAGTGAAACCTGTGGAGGTTAATTAATTAGCTACTTATTCAACTCAAGATCGAAGACCAAGCCAAAGAGTCGGCTATGGCGGCCGGCGCCAAAAAATATGGACATACTTGTGAAATGGCTACAAGTGATATGCTTTAATTTTACACAAATTCTTATATGAAACAACTAAAATTAGTTAATTATTTTTACACAAATTCTTCTGTGAAACAACTAGAATTAGTTAACGAAGTAATCCGCTCGTGAGCTCGTTGAAAGTTCGTTAGTTAGCGAGTCATATTCAGGCTGACTCGTTAAGGCTCGATACAAGTGGAGCTCAAGCTTGATTACTGACTCGTTCAATTTACGAGCAGAGTTCGAACTCGGTTTGACTGGTTCACACCCCCTAAAGGCAACCTAACCGTTAGACAAGTTTGAAAAAAAAAAAAAATACATTTACAAAATGTCAAACTAAAACGTATGTACATCTGATGAAAGCATAAGGCCGTCTTAATGTAGTCGTCTAACCGTTAGACTATCGTAACAGTTATTATATAAAGTATGGAGGCAAATTCGACCGTACATCTGAAATAATAATGAGAAAGGTTTGAAGTCGAACTATAAATGTGGTCCAAAATAGAAATATACCTCAACTTTAACAAACACAAAAAAATTTACCCATACACAGTTTAAGATTATAATACTTCAAAAATAAAACGAGAGACCTTGTTTCTTTTTATCATATTCTGTGTGTTCCTTCAGGCAGCTTTCGCCTTTTCGCAAACAACACCTGGGCGCTTGCTCCTAACACTGCCCTTTCTAAATTTTTCGGATTCGACACTCTCTTTCAGTCGTTCCAAAGCTGAAAACACAAAGATACAAATGTACCAGAAATTATAACATTAAGGTTTAGTGTGTTAAGGCAATCCACAAAACATTTTAAAAAAATAATAATAATAATGATAATGGATTTTACCTGTTTTGTACATGGACTGAAACGACTCTACCGACTCAGATGGAACAGGAAAAACGGGACAAGAATCATTATCAGCCTTTCGTAACAGCCTGTTGAATCGTGCAACCTAAAACCGACACATGTTCAGAAAAATTCCCAGAGGCAAAGACCATGAAGAGACGATTTTTTTTCTAGAAAGTTATAAAAAATTTAAATCCTTGTATTATTAATTTAGAGTACCTCATCCTTGTGCAAAAGCGTGAAGCAACACCCGGTTTGCCCAGCCCTCGCAGTTCGGCCGGCTCGGTGAATGTAGGTCTTTATATACGAGGGCATATCGTAATTTATTACATTTTTCACCCCTTCAACGTCCATTCCTCGAGTCATTGCATCAGATGAAATCAGTACTTGCACTTCTCCTGACCGAAATGCCCTCAATGTCTTGCTGAGAGAGAGAGAGAGAGAGAGAGAGATAAGATTCACTAATTTAGTATTGGCAAAAATGCATTTTTAGTCCTGTTGGTTTAGCGTCATAGCAATTCCAGTATCAATATTCCAACTTTTTGCCTTTTGATCATTTGATTATATATTTTGCTGCAATTTCAGTCCTTCGAGTACTGAAATTTATAGTAATGAGATTGCAACAAAATTTTAAATTATAAGACTTAAATTGCTAATTGAAAATCTGGGAATTTGTTGCAATTTCAGTCCTCAAACGACTGAAATTGCACTGATTTGGATCAAAATATTAAATCACAGGACCAAAAAGCGAAATGTTGGAACTTTGGGACTAAAATTGCTATATCGTTAAACCAGCTGGATTAAAAATGCAATTTTGCCTTTAGTATCTAATGAGAATGAGAGAGAAGAGAGAAAGAGAGAGATGGCATGTCCATATCACCTTCTTATGGACTGACGCTGCAGACGAGAATACTCCTTAATCTTAATTTGAAGGTCACCGAAGAAATTTAACAATGTGCAAAGTCTGTGAGTCGACTCTACGGATGACGTGAAAACAATGCTTTTCTCCCCTTGCAAAGTTCCCAACAACGCCAGTAGATAAAGTGGTTTAAGCTTTGACGTGCACAACTGCATATACATACCAAGGTTTTTTTCAGAATAAAAGATTTTGCAGAATATCTATCCGTTTTCTTTTTTTCTTAAAATAGAACTTTTTTTTTTTTACCACTTTATAAGATTTCAGTTGTTCGGGAAGCTGGTAGCGCTTTCGTCCAGTAGTCAATAACAATGGATGATGAAGATCAAGCTGCGCAATCTTACTCGGATCTTGAGTTAGTGTAGCTGATAGGACCATCTTCGAGAGTCTCGGATGAGCCCTGCCCTTAAACCCCCTCTCGACCCCACTGGAAAAATATCCAACAGTTTCGCAAATCGAGAATAAATAAATAAATAGTTGATTAACGAGAACGAAAACAGAAAATGAGCAATACTGACAAATTTCGGATGGTTTTGAGTGAGCCGTATGTAGGAAGAATATCATCATCAGAAAATGGAACTCGATTTTGATTTCGAGAATAAGCCAACTGAAGAACAGTAGGCAGCCAAGATTGGTAGGCTTCTCTTAGTAACCGATCTGTTTCATCAACCACCTAATATAGTATTTAACTAATCAGTCTCTTTAGACATATAACACAAAGACGAGCAGAAAAAGTTGTGTTTGGTCAGCATATCAGCTAGTTGATAGCTTATTTGGTTAGCTTGGAAGCTTCATGTATTCAAATAAGCTTGATTTGGTAAGACGAGCCTTTTCAAAAAGCTCGAGCTTATCTAGGTAACTTTTCAAATAAGTCCAATGAAATTTTTGATTTCAGCTAGCTTATTAGCTAATTTTACCAAACATTTTTATCATATAAGCTAGTTTTTTCAACCATAAGTCATAAGCTATCAGCTATACGCTCGAAATTCACTAGCTTATCAGCTAAGTTTACCAAACATAGCCGAAGTCTACACATCCCATAGGGATCTTATAAAGAATATAAACAAAAGTACAGCTACACTAAGTGAGAAGATTTTTTGTTGCTTACAAGGTAACAAAGATGCTCGAGCGTGAAACCATCAGTGTTATTAATATGGTCCATTAGCCTTCCTGGCGTTGCTACAAGTATATCCACCGAACTTTTTGGCTCCCGAACGAAATCTTCAGGTTCATCACAACTGCTAGTTCCCACATTGGGCTTCTCGATGAGAGATGAGATCTCATCAGCAATGGAAGATTGGCCCACTGCCAAACCCACAGACAAGCCCACTGCAGAGCCCAAAGCAGCAAACACTTCCTTAACCTGAAAAGTGGGGAGGATAAGAAAATAAAAATTACAATGAAATTGCACTTCTTAGCCATTTTCTTGTATTATAAGTTCAGAATATATGTTCAGCCAAACTTACGGCACACTCATGAAACTCAAGGTATATATACATATATGTTCTTCCAGCCAAACCAATGAACATGAGGCCACCATTAAAACTAATGGTGATAAACTGATAATACCCATTTTGAATAAGAATGTCAAAGTTCAGCCAAAAACATAGTGATTATAACGTAAAACTTGAAACTTTGAGACAGTAAAATGTAACCTGCACGGCCAAGTCACGAGTGGGCAATACGACCAGAGCTCGAAGGCATTTTACTGTTCGAGAAGATAGCGTCTGCACAATCGGCAAAGCATAAGCAAGAGTTTTCCCACTCCCTGTGGGCGAATTTATGCAGAGGTCTCGATTAAAAGAACCCGGCCCAATTGTTTCTTGCCAAACTGCTACTTGCACAGGAAAGAGTGATGTGATTCCCATACTATGCAAAGCTGTCTCTAATCTATAAAAACAAATAAATATCAGAATTTTTTAAAAAAAAATTATATATTTTTAGTTGATGTTTCAGGCAAAATACATAAGAACACACGAAACAAACTGGAATACAAACAAGAGGCAAAAAAGGCAGAACAAAAAGAGAAGAGAAAAAGAAAAAAGCCCAGGCTTTGCGCTTATAATTGAATACCTCGATTGTAATATGTTACTGCGAAGAAAGAGAGAATTACATCCAAATATTGAACAACACAGAGACAACAAAGCAAGGCGCAGAAACAAACAAAAATTAACAATGAAGAAAAACGAAAAGAAAGGACCGCCATGAAATTTTCCTACATCAGCTCAAACTTCAAACTGCGGAAAAAAAAAACAAGGAATACTAGGCATGGAAAATTAAAGTACATAGAAAAAACAAACCTGGGGTCAAGAAAAGGGAGAGAACTGAGCGGGCAGGAGCCGGAGATACTAATATCAACTGGGTCTCTCATCCATGGTATCACCGGCGAGCTTTTATTCTTTACCTCCGTCGCTGGCGCCTCCATTGGGTCTCTGCGTGTTCTTCTCCGACAACGCCCGGAATGTGTTTGATGGATGCGGCAAAAGGATCAAAAGATTTGGGCTGATAGTATATTTCAGATCTCGTGGCTGTATATAATATGTTTCATGGGCTTTTTTCTAACTAAATTTTCTGACGTTTTAGTTAGGGCCCAATCATTATCAAAGTCAAACGTGATTTCAGATTTTTGTACTGTTTGCAAGTGATGAATTTGGTTGAAATATTATAGTGAATGTTGGAGATTTTTTAAGTAACGAAGTATACATTATAAAAGAAAAAATAATTAACTTTTTAATCTTATGTAAACAGGGACGAGTCCAGAAATTAAGAGTAGACTGGGCTACAATTTTAAAAACTCATTTTAAAAAAAATAACATAATATTTTTTTTCAAATATTCATTGAAGTTGTGCTCGACGAGCTTGTTTATGCTCATTTGATACCTTATTTCATGTGCTTTCACTAGTTTTGACGTCGATCCCGTTTTCTAAAGAATTATGATATCAACGAAGTTTTTCTTTTTTTGGCCGAAGGTTGGTGCTCCATGTGAATTTAAAATTCCAGAATACAAATAAATAGATTTTTCATTTTAAATAGTTATTAGCAAAATGAAATGCCTACACATCACAAATTTATTATATCTAACTATGATATACAACAACCACACTCGAGGATAAGAGATTAAAATACACACACACACAATTACTACTTCATACACAATCAACAAAACAAGAATTGCAACAAAGATCCTAACAATAACTATTAAAACCCTAAATAGTTCAATCAAAATGAAAAGATAGACAAAGACAACTAGAATAAAATAAGTATCTAATAGGGCGTTTAAGAATATTGCTTACTATTAAAGAAGAAATTAAACCGTCTTCATAAAAGTAGCACTTTCTTGTTGAATATTTTTTTTTTCTTCTAAATTTATTGTGCTACTTTCTTGTTGAATATTTTTTTTCTTCTAAATTTATTGTTTTGGTGTTTAGAGGAAGGGCATGGCCGTAAGCAGGGACGGATCTAGAAATTAAGAATAGACTGTGCTAGAATTTTTAACTCATTTTCGTAAAAATCCACATAATATTTTTTCTTCAAATATTCACTGAAATTGTGCTCGACGAACTTTTACAGAATAAAATTCATCAATAATAGAATATATACTTATACTATAAGTAAACTCCCGTTCGATAAAGAGAATCAAACAATCTTCGAGTTTATAAACATATTAGGACAAAAATTGAAACAAAAAGGAAATTACTAAACATGTTTAGACAAAACAAAAACAAAAACAAAAACATGATAATTAAGAAAAAAAAAAACATATTCTGGTTAAAAAGTCTTTACATTTACCAGGTTATCTTGCTAAGACTTCTCGTGTAGCCTCAGTTTACTATACTGTATGCCTAACCATTCCATTTTTCATGCCAAAAGGAAGTTTGCCTACAAAGGGGCTTTACTCTCAGCAGCTATCCACACAAGCATTTAATGTGTAAGTGTGAAGCCAAGAACATAGATCAATAAGTAAATCTGAGTGTACAAGCTAAACACAATTTGAAGCAAAAATACCCAATTGCTCAAAATCCAGAAAAAAATAAATAAATAAAAATTGAAAATCACAGACAGACACTGAAGCCTGAAAAAAAAAAATGAAAATCGCAGACAGACACTGAGGGCCTGAGGCTTCAAATTTCTCTTTTCCTTTCTAGAACAAGCACTCAATCATGGATGTCTCACACAATATTAAACCTCATAAGCTATTTTATCCCTTCACAAAACACAATCTAGCCATCTAGGGTTTGTAAAGTAAACACAATTTTTTTTTTTTTTGGTACCTTCTGATTTTGTATCGGAATTCGGATGGCAACGGCCGAGTGGTGGCAGCCTGGCAGGTCGCCAGACGACGAGTTGACGACGGCGAAATTCGGTGGCCGGTGGCGGTGAGTGAACGCAGTCGCTGTAAAAATTGCAAGTGCAACAAGAGTGGGACTGTGGGAAGAAGAACGAAGAAACTGGGAACAAAGGGCATAAATATTCTCTGTTTTGCGAAGGGGCTTAATTAAAATAAAATTAAAATAAAAAACGATGGGGCTTAGGAGGATTTAGTCATTTAGGGCCTAATTATTCATTGGTTTTTATTGGGCTTCGCAGCCAGGGCTAGACTTGAGAAAAAAAAATAATAAAGTTAAAAATAATAAAAAAAAAAAATGCTTGGGCTTGAGTCCAGCCCAGGCCTAATGTGCTTCCGTCTCTGGCCGTAAGTAATTTATTTCATTGAAGTTTGGTAGAGTGGTGTTAGTAGTCTTTGGACTTAATAGACAGTGAATTATTTTGGTGGGTTAGTAAATTAGTTTATTTGGCTAGGCTAGAAGTATAATTTTTTTTTTCAAATTAATAGTTGTTAAAGACAAAAAAATAACAGGCCTAGGCTGAAGCCCAACCCAGGCCAAAGATAGATCCGTCCATGTATGTAACAAATTCAATTTTTATTGCAAAGTGTGTAGGGCTCGTATTTGTGCATCTCAATCATTTGAATAAGGGAACTTGTAACATAAAAGACTCAACGAGAATGATAAAGTTTTAGGAGGGAAAGGAACCAAACATTTTATTTGTAGTTTATCTTAAGATCACAATAAATATCAATTAATTTTTCAGGTAGTTTATCAATAGTGTAAGCAGTGTTGTAACTGGGGCCCACTCGGACATATAACCAGCGAATTATCTTAGTGAGTCAATGAGGGGCGAGAGACTTCGGGTTTAGAACTAGTATAGCATGAGTCTCTAACCAAAATCATGATACCTTAGTGCAACAATTGAACATCGTTGACACTTTGAGTTGCAGAAACCAAATATCGGTGCTTAAACACAACTTACATTGTGATTCCAATAAAAAAAAAGGGGCTAAGTAGTTCAATCAAAATTGTCGCTACGCTTCCGAAAACATATCACAACAGTGATTCCAAATCCAGATGCAAAAGTCATGCTGGTTTCATTTCTTATGACAAACACCTTTCGAATGATCTCTAGCAGCTTAAAAGTCATCATATGCATGATCTACATTTAGAGGTGGCCACAAGCCGCCCGACTTGTCAACCCAGACTTGACTCGTCCCAGTCAAGCCCCGTTGACCACGGGTCTAGACCCAACTCGGATTAACCGGACTGATTCAAGAACATGTATTCTACGGCACTGGCCTAACAGACCAAGACGGTTCGGTTTGGGAGATCAACATAGTTTTTGTTTTATTTTATATTTTTTTAGACGAGTTCGAGATTCAGGTCAAGTATGGCCTAACTCGGCACAAGCCTAGATAAGGGCTGATTCTGGGTCGCCATCTTCGTACTCAGATGCCTGTCGGGCTGGGGATTTTGGCCATGTTTATCTACATTAGAACCGAACCGTAATCAATACAATTTTTCTAAAAATTGAACCACAGTAAAACCATACCATCAAAAAAAACGAACCAAATTGAACTGAATTTTCTCGGTTCCCTTCGATTTTTCAATTCCATTTTTTAAAAAAAAAAGAACTAAATAAATATAATTATTAGATTTCTTTTTAGTAATTTTTATGCTAGTTTCCTTCTCATCCAATCCCTTCGAAATCCATTATCAGCCAATAAATTTGGGCCGAATTGCCACGTATCATTTCGAAAATCCGATAAAACAGAAAAATAAAAAATTAAATCCACAGCAGCACAAAGCCACCCAATCAAATCCCACGGTATTTCTCTCAATCTTCAATCTCCGTCTCCATCTCTCCCTCCCCACGGCGGCGCCGCCCCAACCCACCGCAAACCGCCACCATGCTAGCCGCGGCGGCGTCGGCGCTCCACTCCACCTCAATGTGCCTCCCCTCCCCAAAACCATCCCAAGCCCTCGACCAAAGCACCACCACCACCGGCGGCGGCAGCCGCATCTTCCTAACGACGCCGTCGAAGCCCAAAACTCTCCTCCACGACCACCCCCTCTACCAGACCGCCCACCCCAACCTCTCCTTCCAGTTCAAGGAGAAGATCCTCTGCCTCGAGATCCTCGGCGTCGATTCGGGCCGGGTCCTGGCCCGAAACCCCTCCCTCCGCTCCGCTTCTCTCGACTCCCTCCACGCCGTCATCGACTTCCTCCAGTCAAAGGGCCTCCACCTCAAGGACCTCGGCCGGATCTTCGGCATGTGCCCCGCCGCCCTCACCGCCGACGTCGGCTCAGATCTGGGCCCGGTCTTCGATTTCCTTTCCCGCGACCTCGGCGTCCCCGATCGGAACTTCCGGCGGGCGGTCAACAAGTGCCCGAGGCTGCTGGTCTCCAGCGTCCGCGACCAATTGCGGCCGGCCCTGTTCTACCTCCGGCGGCTGGGGTTCAGGGACCCCCACGCGCTGGCCTACCAGGACCCGATCCTCCTCGTCTCGAGCGTGGAGAACACGCTCATCCCCAAGCTGGACTATCTCGTGGGCCTGGGCCTTTCCAGAAAGGACGCGGTGGAGATGGTGCTGAGGTGTCCTGGGCTTTTCACGTTCAGCATCGAGAACAATTTCAGGCCCAAGGTGGAGTATTTTAGGGAGGTGATGAGGGGCGAATTGCAGGAACTGCAGGAATTCCCACAGTATTTCACTTTCAGTTTGGAGAATAGAATAAAGCGGAGGCACAAAGAGGTCGTGGAGAGTGGGGCACGGGTCCCGTTGCCGGCGATGCTAAAGAGCACCGATGAGGAGTTCAGGGAGCTCCTG